TCATTCTGTTTTTTTTTTCCTCTCCTCTTCCGCTGTTCCCAAGTCCCGCCTCTCAGTGTAACATCATCGGATCTGTCACTTTGAGACATGATATTTTTGAGGCTACTATTCACTGCGTACATAGTAGCTGGTTGAAGGAAAGACACACAACAGCATTCAAGGAATTTTAACAGGCAGCTTCTTCGATAGATGTTTAAGTAAAATTTAGGAGATGGGTTGGTTAAAAATTTGAAAAGCCACTGAGAATTTATTTGTTAGACATATGGAGCTAAATTGTAACAGGTTGTAAGTTTATACAAGTTAATCAATTTAATGCAAGAAGCTTGAGAAAACATTGTTTTAATGTTGTATTCTTCTTTAGTAGTTATAAAAAGCTGGGCTTCTCAGAGGACCATGACTCCCAGTTAAAGGTTAAAATTAACACACATTTCTTGTTTTCTAAATGAACATAGAATCAGACTGTAGAGCTTATAGATGTCTTGAAATGTTTCTCTGGCATCATTATATTATTAGACAGGTTCATAAACTTCTTTTTTAAGCCAAGCACAGACACACAAGTAGGGACAACTGCAGATTTAAAAATGAAACAGATTTACTGGGATATACAGCGTGCAATAAAATATATCTCCAAGTTTACAAGAAAGTTTGCAAGAAAAAATATTCTCTGCTATAATTAAATTCAACATATCTTTTCTCTTCTGTAATTCAGTGAGTGCCTGCCAACCCAGAGACAGCCAGACTGACAGGACAAAGACTTAAAATGGAAATAAAGGAGACCTGCTAGAATTAAAGCAAAAATAGTAGATTCAAAATAAGTGTATAAATTTTTCTTTGAACCTAATCCTACTTTTAATACATATGTAGACTTTGGCTGTCAATGATATGTGGTACAAATTTCTAAATTAGATTTTGCTGCTTGTGATGGAGAAAAATCGTTCGTATTGGGTATCAGCTGTTACTTGTCTTTTATTATTACTATTAATAATTATAATAAATATTAAAACATTTTTAGCCCTTTATAGGTAAGTGCCTATAAAACATTTTTCTGTTGGCTGTTCAGGATATGTCATGTCAAGTGAGGTTTTGCAAGAATAAAAGGCAGACAGGGAATCAAAACCTGCATGATCAGCTGAAGAGTTTAAAGGGGTCATAGAATGATTCAATAGTGTATTTGGTGCTGGTCATTAAGGTGTCTGAATAGGGTGTGTAACATTGGTTTGGCTGAAAATGGCATATTTGCTGTTCTATGAGCCCTAATGCAAGCCTGATTAAAAGCCCTAGAATGAAACGACAGGTTTTGTCAATAACAATAACTTTAAAAAAGCCTTTTTCAATCTCACCATGGAACATGCTTTCTCAACAGAATCACGGTTTTATAAATGTGCAAAATAAACAACTCAGAAATCTTAAATGAACAATATTGAAAATATGCAAACAACACCTTATACAAAAAAATGTATAAAAGTATGACCTGCAAACTGAGTCCATATATGAAGAAACTAAAATTCAGTAAACAGAGAACATTAATGTTAAGCATTATCAGTGGGCTTTAAGTTTATCTAATTGCATTCATCTCAGAGCATTTCTATGGGGTGTTAAAATATCTGCTAAAGCTTTTTTTCTTAGTGAGGGTTTTTAGATATGTGAGTGTTTTTTGTAATTATCATACTTTAAGGTGTAGTGGAAGATGTTCTTTTTCTTGGTGGATCATCAAAATAAGTGGTCCTCCTAATTGTCAATCATTCTAGTGATATGTTTACGTAAGGCCGTCCTAGGTGCTCGTCCCGTTTAGCCATCTTTTTCTATGTGTGTGCACTTTCAGGCATATATCTATGGTGAGCTACGTTTTCAGACAGTCATTGAAGCTCGCCTTTCTTGCTGCGGTTTTTTGAAAATGATAGTGTCTAAGGAGTGCATAAACAGACAAGAAAGCCCTCAGAAAAGAGAAACAAAACTAGAGTGTTTTGGGGAGATTTTTTCATGCAATGGCGTACACTGAAAGCACAGGTGTGGGCTTCCCACTGATGCATCAGTTGCAAAGTTTCTATTTGACAGGTAAAGCTTGGCATGCTATTTGGAGAAATCCATTTCACATCACTGCTGGTAAAAGTTATCTTCCTCGATATTGTAACTCTCCAGGGAAGATAAGTTTATTTATTTAGTAATTTGCATCGTTAGTAGTTATAAGGGGGCCTTATTTATCCCAAAAATATGTCCAAATTTCCACTGCAGCGCACGCACATACTCAAGCAGGTCATGATTTTTTTAATGTACCAGTAGTCTTATTTGCGGGGAAACTTTTTATATATAGATATGGGTGAAATGAGATCCATCTGAGCGACCATCTTATTGATCCCCGCACCTTTTCGATGAGATATGGTCTGGTACATGCTCTCGCATACGTCTGATAGGCCTTCCCTCTTTTGGGAGCAGGTACAGGGTTGTGTATGTGCATTTTTCTATAAAAGTGGGCGGGTCTTTTAAAAAATTTGCAAAATTCCTCCACTATACCTTTATCTACTCCTCAACAGACCACATATGTAACTTCATTTTTAATTTTGTAAAATTCTACTTTGGGTGAAGACATTACAGCTATTACTGAACACAATTTTTTTATTTAAATTTTGTACACATTGCCTCTGTGACACAATAAAACTTTGCGATCCTTCTAATGTAGATTTTCAAGTTTTTAACAAAAGCATTGTCTAATTGCATGCAGAGCCGTGGGACTTAAGTCCATAAGCTTGACTTGAATCCCCTATTTCTGTGACATCATTGCAGGTTTTAATCTCACTGAGACAATCTGAGTGGATTGAGTGGATTAAAGGAACAGAAAAGCAGTGTTTAAATTAATGAAATTCATCTTTTGTGAACATCACAAGAAAACAAAACACACAGCAAAGAAAAGGGTCATCAGAAAATAATCCATCTCTCAGAGGATCTTAGGGGAACTTTAATTTAGCCATGTAGTTGGTAAAACATGTTGAAGAAGATCTAGTCAAGTGAAACCAAAACACATGTAAAACGTTTTATTTGCAACAAAAATAACTCTGCACATCAGCTTCCTTCTTTAAAAATATGGATGAAGCTCCCCAAATCATGCTTTGGGGACTTTTTTTTCTGAAGGAACAGGTAGACTCGAACAGAATTAAGATAAATATATAGATAAATTAATACATATTAATTAAAACTGTCAAATTGTATTAGTATTGTCCAAATCCAGGTCTAAAAGCAAAGTAACGTTTATTTTATAGAGCTTAAAGTTTCTCTTCCCAGACACTTAAGTGTATGTAAGGGACACACTGCTAAAAAATGTGGGGGGAAAACTTTAACAACAAATATAACTTCAGTTACATCAGACTTCTATGAAATCAAACTGTCCACTTAGGAATTAGCAAGACACACTCATGAAAGGAGTGGCTCTACACAGGAGGCGACACTCAATGCTGAGCCTTATTTTCACCTGTTTTGAGGACATTTCATCACAGCTGGATCAGACTGCAGCGTTTTTTCCCACTTTTGTGTATAACTCTAAAATCCAGGCTTCCATTGGTTCATAACTTTGATTTCCATTGATGATTTTTATGTGTCTTTTTTCCTGCACATTCAACTTTATACAGAACAAAGTATTCAATAAGGATACTTCATTTATTCAGATGTAGATTTTTTTTATTTGTGTGATCCCTTGATTTTGATTACTGTGTCTAATTGTGAATTAAAATTAAAACATGTCTGTGATTTAACGATTATGAAGCGTGTTGAGTACAACGTGAAAGATGAAAAGAGCATAAAAGGCATTGGAGATGCATTCCCTATCTGATCAGTCATCAGATTGTTAACCACCAGATGAAGCTTTTATTAGATCAACTTAACAAGATATCGGCTGTCTTACATCAGTCTAAATCGGAGGTCTTCAGCAGGGGGTCCGTGACCCCTAGGCGGTCCATGGAGGTACTGCATGGGGGTTGCAAAAGTTTTGTTTGATTAGACTTTTTTTATATTCCCTCCAGCAATTTTTTCCACTAATTGAAATGTCTTTAAATACACATTAACATGAATTCAACACACTGTAGTAAACAGATAAATGGAGGCAGAAGATGTCTTTCAGTCATTAATGCACACATTCAGCGACACACAGGA